AGCATAAGCCCAAATCATATGAAATTTATGAGAATGATAGATAATGGCCCAAATCAAAACAAGCCCAGGCCTCTTTGACTCTCTCTAATATTTCTCTCTACTGGCTCATCTATATATATAATTGCTAGCAAAGTAAATAATAAAATTCTTTTTGTTTTTTGATCTTTTTACGTTACTTTTTTGCATTAATCACAACTATTACAACACGCGTTTATTATACGGGTGCTTGTTAAAAAATTATTATAATGAGAAAAATTATTTTAAATTTTATTTACTTTTTACAAAAAACATAAATTATTACATAGTTTAAAATGACACTTGTTACTTGTGCGACTTACATGTGTTATATTATAATAAATTTTATAATGTATATCATACAACTACTTGAAATATAAATATAGTAATTAATAGAGAATTTCATTTTCTAATTAATATTAAAAAATATTATTATTATAAAGGTAATATAATTATTTTATACATATACAATATAGATGTTAAATCAAAGTTCATCAAGAGATGATTAATTTGATATATTATATATGTAAAACTGATAAAAAAATACAAAAGTTATTAACTTTTAAAATATATTTACAATTAAATTGTTATAATAAGAAATGATATTAAAATACAAGAACCATAAATAATCAACATATTTATGGATCATCCGGACCTAATTATTTTTGGATCAAAAATAAATTAAAATATATCCAAGCTTAATAACGAAGCATGTAATTTTGCCACATAAGATCTCGAAACATGTGAGCCTATCACTTAGGCTCAGCACATTCTGAATTAATATATAATAAGGAAGATTATATTTTTTATTTATTTTATTATATTAGTTTCTACTATTAACTAATAATGAAGGCACATTAAATGTTATTCTAGTTTATTTTAAACCATGTATTTAATTTTTTTTCACCTCATTAAGCAATTTTTTTTTATTAAAATTAGTTAATTATTTTTTTATGGTATAACCAAACCCTTTAAAGCTTTCGACAAAATTGCTATAATAATAATTGTAATATTTTTTTATCTTGTTAATTGTCATAATCAACCAAGATTGCATAAATTTAAAGATTAATATGTAAGTTAAATAGTTTATATTCATATCTTCATTTTAGTAATCATAAAATCTATAAATGTAATATGCTCATTATTTAATTTATGATTTTTAAATTTTACATAAAACACACACACACATATATATATACATATAAAATTTTATTAACATTTGTGTATGCGCACAGGACATGATACTAGTTTTTTTTTCTAATTTATGTCTCTTTTTTTTCTAAAATTTATCCACTTATATACACACACACTAATGTGAGCAATATCTATCATTCATATGTGGTGAGATAATTGTTTTATTAAATGAACACCTAAGTGGATCATAAATCTCAATCTATCAAATAATATATATAACTAGACAACTAATACTAATACTAAAAGTGTAAAACATGCTTTAAAATATCTGTTACTACTGTTTAGAAATAAATAAATAAATAAATAAAATGTTTAAGTCCAGCCCTATCTATGCCCCCATCCAATGGCCCACTAGCTTTTACTTTCATTTTCTTTCTTTTTCTTTTAATGAAAATTAAAAAGCGAGTAAAAAACCACACGTTTTTAATGGGTATTTTTTTTTATTATTGGAAATCTCTTAACACCGTGCGTAAAAGTCAATACAATTTGGGTACACTGTACCAGTACCATATATATATCTATTATCTATTTTCCATTATTTATTTATATTTGAACCACTTTAAATTCAACCTTGCTTTTGACTTATTCTTATTGTTAAACGAGACGAGCTCGACTCGGGTCGATATTGAGTTCAAGTTTGAGATTGTTCTAAAAATCAGCCTAAGCAGCCACTTAGGCGCTAGGCGGTGTCCGGGAGCCTCCGATTTGCACAAATCGGCAGAAAAAATCGGCCAGGCGGCGCCTAGGCGGATCTAGGCGTTCCTAGGCGGGCTGGGCGACAATTTTTTAGTTTTTTTAATATTTTTTTAAGTACTAATTACATTATTTGTTCTCATATTTTCTTTAAAATATATTAATTGTATTAATTGGACTTAGTTGTGTCGATCTATTATAAGTTGAGGTAGTTTTATTTTGTAGGTAGTTGAAATAAATAAAAAAATAAGTTATTTAATATAGATTTCTAGGCCCCGACTAGGCCCGCTTAGGCCCCGACTAGGCGCTAGGCGCTGGTCGAGTGCCTAGCGGGCGCCTAACGACGTTTAGAACACTGGTTTCAGTAGCTCTCTCGATCTCGTCTCGTTCATACTTCTCGACCAATGATTAAATCAGTTGGTCAATCACATTTTCAAATAAAAATATATACGTATTTAATGTGTTATATGTTGTAAGAAAAAATTGATGTTGTACAACAATTTTATTTTTCGTAAGTGGAAGACTTAGAAAATTTTCAAAACCTTTTTAAGGTGAATGAGAAATTAACTCTAAGTGTTATATGTTAATTAATTGAGTTTAAATAACTCAAAGGTTGTAGGGTTCACAAACATTTTGTTTTGACAAACTAAACGAACCATAATTATGCATTATGTATGCTTGAATTGTATAGGGCTCGTTGGGGATAGAAAAAAAAAACAGAACTCAATTCCGAGTCGGATGAGCTCGTACTAAACCGCAGCGCACGGACGCGCAACTGGTTGCGGAAATCAAAGGGTCGCAACCTTTGGTAACCATAAGGTATCTTTTGGCCACTAGATGCATCCGTTCTCGTTCGGTCACGTCCCAAAATGTTTATTTTGACACTTAAACCTCTTGGAAGTGTTTCCCTACATTTATAAATACCCACAAACATAAAATCATTCAAACATCAAATTATTACATAATCTTTGCATCCTTTTTACAAAGTTCATATTCATCTTGTGTTCTTTGTGCTCTTTCCTATCTTGAGAGTTCTGAAACTTAAGTATTGTTCGTCGAAGGTTGTGTATTTGAATTACCACTATACACAAATCGAAAGTCGTTGTATCTTGGAGGCGCCGTGAACTGTGGGTAATATACGGAGCTATTTCGTCTTAAGGAGAGCGTATCTTACGTGTCTCGACTTTGTTCGTTTTACCAAAATTCCTTCTGTTTTTCTTAGAGCCATTTTCTTGAAATTCACATGCCAAATATAAACTACATATGTTTATATTAAATTTTCAAACATGAAAGAGTGAGATGATGAGATGACCCTAAAACCCCACATCATCTTCACTACATCGTTTTTCACTTATTTTTCAATAAAACCATTTGATAGCAAAACAAAAATTAGGAGGAAAATATCAAACTAGGAATCAATTATAATAAAAAAGGACCACAAGCCTCTAGTAGGTGCCAAGTCTTCTTCATCATTTTTAGTTTTCTTTTTTTTTTCCTCCCTCGTAATATTCGTTGTAGTTCTCAATAAAGCTTTTAAATAATACGAGTCATCAAGACTAATAAATAATAGATTTTCTCGCCAATTTTTAATTTACTCCATTTTTTAAAGCTCTCGACTTTTTTTAAATTTGATATATGAGCCGAATTCAATAGTGATTAAAAAGCGTCGTGCTAACATATAAGAGTTAGACTCAAATGATAAGCAACTAGATGTCGCTTAAACAATGTTTTGAATTCGAGTTCTTGTAAATATAAAAAAAATTTATAAAAAGACTCACTCACTATTAGGGATGTAAACGGGTCGGGTTGGGTGCGGGTTTTGACATACCCGTACCCGACCCGCCATTTAAAAACTGTACCCGTACCCGACCCGCTACCCGATTACTCATCACCGAGTTCGGGTTGGGTTTTACCCGTCGGGTAATCGGGTTACCCGAATAGTGATTAAAAAGCGTCGTGCTAACATATAAGAGTTGACCCAAGTGATAAACAGTTAGATGTCACTTAAACAATGTTTCGAGTTCGAGTTCTTGTAAATATAAAAATTATAAAAAGACTCACCTACCAATCCATTGTCAAATGTGCGACCTTGATCAACCAACGAATTAGTCGGATAAATGTTGTATGTCGACTCATTCGAGGATATTGACTCAATAAGTTTGGTTTGACTTATTACGTAATAGTAGTTTATTAATAAAAAAACACCTCATGCTTGCGTGGCATCGCCACGTGAAAAATTCACGCAAAGTCCACTAATTAATGGCCATTCAAATTATTAGTGGTGTCGGTAAAAGGTCACGCCCAATCACTATCAAACCAACCAAAATTAGAATAATTTTTTTTTATTTCATGTTGTTACTGTTGATACTGAACAACACACGTCTTCTCGTTTTAGCTTAAATAATACGAGTGCTACTACTGTACGTCCTGGCACATCTAGCTAGGTGTGTCAGACCAATAATAAATCAACATGTTATATAATAAAATGAATATGTTCATTTTATTGTGTAACATGTAATGAACATGTTCATTTTATTATGTAACATATTCATTTTATCATTACAGTACATAATAAAAATGAACATATTCATTTTATTATATAATATGTCCATTTTATTATTGTCCTGGCACACCTAAGTATTTTTTTGCGAAATAATACTCCCCATATTTTTAAACATTTGTGCATATCTACATGACTAGATATATGTGTACAACCCCATATTTGAGCTCGTGTTAATCACCTCATCTTTACTTTATTGCGCGCGGGCCCCCCAATTTTATCGAAACTACGTGCGCCCCCCGACGCATTATTCAGTTCATGTTCAGCTCACCCACCAATTATTTTTATTTTTATTTATTTTTCTTTCGGCTACGCAATTATCACGTGCTTAAATGCGTCCATTGAAAAATATATTCTATATATTTATTAATTTATTTATTATTTTTCTATTGAAAAACAGGCTGAGCTTCCAACACAAGAACTCGATAGTCGATAAGCTTCAATCAGTCAGCCTTTTTCTGCTCTCTATTCTTGTGAAATTTGTCGATAATCATTTGAAATACGAGTTCTCGTGCACGATTTGTGTTCGCCGGCTAATATGTCGAGCTCGAGACACTTTTCCGGCGGCCGCAGGACGGGGAAGGCGCCGGAGAAATCGAATTTTGCGCAGACGTGCAACCTTCTGAGTCAATACATAAAGGAAAAGGGCAGCCTCAGGGATTTGAATCTCGAAATTGGTGGAAAAGTGGAGAGTGTCGAAGCTATCGGTAAGTTTTATTTTTTCAACTTTCATATGTGTTTTTTTCTGAAGAAATTTTGGGGGATTGCGAAGATATTGGAGTATGAACTTGATAGATCTATGGAGATTTCGAAGTCTGTCGACTTGTTGTTTTGAGATTGAAGCAGATTTTCCATTTTTTTTAAAGCTATTTTTATTCATTTCAGTGAAGCCTGGTTCATCTCTCGCATCAGCTTCAACAGGTGTGAATTCACATAGTAACAATGGGAAATCTGCTCAACCTTCGCCTGGAAAACAGCCACCGATGGACCAGTTTACCGGTAGGTCCGATTCCTCGGCTATTGTCGTTGAGGACGCCTCGAATAAAGCTAGCACAAGGTTCGTTTCCTTTTTTAATTCCTGCGTTAAGTATGTGATAAGGGTAGATCACTAGTAGCTGTAGAAGTGAAAGATTGAAAATCAGTCGAGAGAATTAAACTACTGTAATTGTGAAAAAGAGTTTTGTTTGGTTAACAGGCTGTGGAGGTGTTGTCTGGTGCAAAACACTGAGAATTATTGCTTTTTTCTGTGCTGAAAAACTTGGTTTGGTCACTCTTTAAAGTTGATTAAAGTAGGAAAGTTTGTAAAATGCGGCGTTTTCAATTTCTCTTCACGCGAGAAAAGCGCAACATTTGGTTGTGTTGTACTTGTTCTCAGTTGTTATGGTTGTAAAAGATGGGAGTGATAAGATTGTAAGAAAGATTGTGGCTTTCTCCTTGTTTCCCTTATCAGCTTCTCAAGATGTTATATCTGGAGCTTATGTAACCAATCGATTTACACCCTGCACGTTTTCTTTTCTTTTTTTTTTTTTTAAAAAAAAAATAAAATTCCAACTTGTATCAGCAAAGAGGCAGCGAAAACGGAGCCTAAGAATGCACAGCTAACGATCTTTTACTCGGGGAGAATATTGGTTTTCGACGATTACCCGATGGAAAAAGTTAGGGATCTCGTGTCTGTAGCCAAAAGGAATAGCTCACAAATGTCTTACGGCATTTTATCGAAGGCCTATCATGAGAAAGCGGGCCCCACGCCCCCCACCTTACGTGAGGGGCTCCCTCCAAGGCCTCATGCTTACAATAACAAACAGCCTTTCGGTGTTTCTATGAACAATTTTCGGGAGGGAACAAGTTCGATAGTCAACGAGGCTGTTGCGTCTAGTTCGAGATCAGAAGAACTTTCACCACAGCCTGAGGCTAATGGATCTGGTAAATTGAGTTACTGCTTTTGCATAAAAGGTACATCTAGTTTGGTGCTTTGGGAGTTTCTGTGGTTTACTTATGTCATTCTTTTTTTTTTTCCTTTCTTTTTCTATGTTTTTTGTTCATTTAGATTTGCCGATTGCAAGAAGATCGTCGATTCACAGGTTCCTTGAGAAGAGGAAAGATAGGTATGCAACTTTTTAGTGATTTCAAGAGTTTCATACAACGTCATATTGGTTTATGGGAATAGGCATGCTTGCTATTTGAATGAAAATACACATTTTCAAAGTTAATTGTCATACTTTTCATCAATAACCTAAAACAACTATTGCACTCAATTAAAAATTTTAAAATGCTATTCTTAAACATGAGATCCATTGAATGCTTATGTATACTAGGTGGGTCACGTGATACTGATTGCGGGTTCAAATTAGTCAAAAGGTGTATCAACCATATTAGTAATATCAATCAAGGATGGACCAAACGAACTATATCCTTATCCAACCCCTCTTAAATGTGTTTATTGAATTTTGCCAGTGTACCTAGTTTTTCTGTTATGCGCTTTATTACGGATCCATGTTGATCAGATACAAAACCGAGCTCTAACCATACCTTTAATAGTCTAAAGTATGATCGAATACTTTGACATGAGAGTGGATTCTATTAGATTTGTCCTTCCTCCCACCACTCTACTTTCGTCAACGTGTATTGTTGCGTTCACGCGTGAATCATTTTGCTATATTTTTACTCGTGCCTTTTCTTCCGTTCGTGTAAATCGAGCACGAATCATGACTTCCTATCTATGTTATTTCAACGTTTTTCACATGTATTGTTATAGGGCTGCTGTTAGGGGCCCTTACTACAATCAAGAACATCCTGGTCCTTCCACCAAAGGTGATGAGCAGCTTGACCTCAACATTTTGCCATAAGTGCCATTAAAAATATAATAATTAAAAGATTTTTATATGGTTTTAGATTGTGTTGTGCGACTTTTATTTATATTCACACATTGGGAATGTGATGTAAAATTTAGCCTTATAGCACGATTTTAGTGAGATTGTAGTGTATTTGGAGGCAATTAATTACTTGCCATGGAGCTTTAGGGTGATTCATTAGGTGGCTAGAATTAGCCATTTATGACTCAAAGATGGCTAACAAGTACTTTGTAATTTCATGTTCATTTTTTTCAAAAGATTTTATTTATTTATTTATTTATTTATTTTTAATTTCTTGAGGTTAGTTACGAGTATCTTGAAAATTTTAACTAGAAAAAAAAAGTGATAACTAAGAAGTTAATTTATATTTTATAAATTAATTTGAAGCTTATATTTGTGACTGATGATTGAAAAACTAACTAGTATAAAAATAATATGGTGGAATTAGGTGATTTTATTTTTTAATAGGCTTTTTTTTAAAATATTGCACAGAGTTGTGTGAAATAAGCTCAAAGATCTCATCATTTCAAATAAAAAGTATTTGATTAAAAATAATATTTAAACTGGTTAAATAAGCTATAAGTTAGTTTGTATAAGTTAGTTTGTAATGTAAATTAAACAAACAAGTTATTGTGATTGTAAGACTCACAATAAACAAGTTATTGTGATTCTAAGACTGTTGGAAAGTTTAATGGAACCTTGATGTTTTTAACATGCTGTTTGGTAACATGATGATTAATGAAAGATGAGTGATGATATGTTGACATGATTTATTGATATAATCTATGATATAAATAATGTGTATTGATGTCAATTACGATTTTTAAAACTGATGTAATGTGTAAAACCATAAAATCTTGACACGTATATTTGATGTCACTGCAACATGATCTTATTTATGAACTCTCAGATTGAGCAATTATCTCGCCAACAATGATTGTCTGTAGGAGTCCTGATTATGCAATTTCATGTGTTATATATATAATACACACTATAAAATCACACCTTATTTCTATTAAGAACCTAAAATGGTTACTCTTTAACATATTTTAACATAAGATGCAAAAATGTTTGAAAAATGTTTTTCGCGATTTATTGCATCACAAATATTAGTTGTGAGTAGGAGTGTAAATGAGTCTTAATTTACAAATGATACATTTTATTTAACAACTCTAATTGTGAGGACCTAAAGATTAAACTAATCGCAATATTTTTAACGAAAATGCATAACAAAGTATTTTTAACGAAAATGCATAACAAAGTTGTTTAATCGGGAATAAATGGAATAGATACTACTATTATATAGGTCCTCTTGATTAAGACCTATATACTACAGTGCCAATACCCAATTTCCATCCTCAAGTTAACTGAGAATCCAAAAACTCTCTCTGCCAACTTTCCTTTCGAAAGGAAAAGGCAAGGCAGCGCATCGACAAGTTTCTTCTTGACTTCCCTATGTCCCTCTGGCATCTTTAGCCTTCCGGCGCCGGCATTGTGGTCTCCGCCCCCGTCAAGAGCATCGTCTTCTCAACCAATTTTGGAGCCAGACCTCACTTAAGTCTTTGGTGTAGAATATTATTATTACTATTATTATTATTATGATTATTAGTATTAGTATTGATTATTATTGTTATTGTTTTTATTTATCTTGACTTGGTGGACAAGTCAATGAGTAGGGTTTATGAGAGTCTTATTTAAATGACTCCCCATCTATTATTTAAGGAAGTTGATTATTGAAATGAAATAAGATTAAATATTCTCGTTTATTGCAATGAGCCGTTGCTTTTTTTTTGTGCAAAAAAAATATAAAATTGATGTGTATTTATAGGCAAAGAATAAGGAATAAAAAATGTAAATTATTGATACATAATGGAAAGTGTGATATATATAAAATTTAAATTTATCATAAGGGCACCCGCATTGGTCATTTAATTGTCCTCATTTAAACGCCAGTTTGGCATTAACACCATTCTACGTGTTCATTCTTTGAGTGGGGCCCATACTTGTGTTCAATGGACTGAACGCTGTTCAGCCAAATTTTTACTTTTTTTTTTGTTTTAAATCAACTTTATATTAGTTACATTTTTTATATTAATTCATTTTTTAATTGTGATATTTTTGTAAACAAAATTTCAAGAGTGTAATTTCATTTTTTACTTCCAAAATTCACAAACTCTACCAAATTTATCATTTTGTAATTGTAATATTTTTTTCTTGTGTAATCTTAATTTAAGCTATTTTGGTCTTGTAGTGTTCTTTCATTTTCATGCATTTAAAATTAATTATTAATTTTTAAAATAATAAATTTTATTTTTATTGAGAATAAAATATAAAATTTATATTAAATGAGTGGATAATGGGTCCCATCTCCCATGTATGTATTTAAATGAATCTATAGAAATGTGAGTGTGTGTTCTAAAATTTAAATGAAGAGAGATTTAGTTGAAAGATGATGTGGAGATGATGCGGATGAAAGAGAGTGTTATTTTTTGATTGAATGAATGAGATGTGTATTAAAGTGTTGTAGATGCCTTAATTGGAAAGTGTGATATAAATAAAAAAAATGAATCAAACATAAAAAAAAAAAAGAAAAAAGATTGAAGAAACACTTAATTTAAAACAAAAAAAATGGCTTAACGCGTCCAATATACTGAACAAATTCATGGGCCCCATGTTAAATGGATGTGCCACATCCATGATAATGCTAGGGGCATTTAAACTCACAAAATATACACTGCGTTGCAGATGCCCTTAGTTGTTATCCTTCATTCGTTGGAGCGGTTTTGATATGGAGCCATTGAATGACACGACTTATGAAATCATCCACATTTGTTAGTCTTCATTATTGAAGTTTTATGTCTTCCTTTACGGGAGTTTAGCAATTGTGCTTATGGGTTTTCTTTTTAGTTGATATAGTAGGAGTCATGTCAGGCCTAGGATGTTTCTCATAAATTCAACTTTTATAGATGTTGGCCATGTTTGGTAAAATTAGGTGATAGTTGATAAGCTAATTTATAGCTTATCAATATTTGTAGAGCTTATAACTTATAACTTATGACTTATAGTTGAAAAACTAGCTTATTTGGTAAAAGTGTTTGGTAAATTAGTTGATAAGTTAGTTGAAATAATAATTTCAACAGACTTATTTGAAAACCTGCTCAAGAAAGCTTATGAGATAAACTCGAGAAAAGTTCATAACAAAACTTATTTAAATACAAAAAAACTTATAAGCTAATAAAATAAACTATGAGCAAACTTATTCGTCTACCAAACAATACAGTTATGGTCTCTAGTCTCTATATGTAGTTTATCTCGTTTATCTAGTATATCTTTAAATTGTTTTTTTTTTTTTAAAAAAAAAAAGCCACTCAAATAAATTCCTCCTGCCATATTCAAGTTCCTTGTGAGTCCCTAAGTTAATTTTATTCTTGTGCACTCCATAACACATACTTTCTTTTTTCACTTCAGTCCCCCTATATATAATAATATTATTATTATCCATTTATTTTACTTGAAAATAGAAAAAAAAAATGATAATTTCTCTCTTAATTCCCGTCTCTCTCTCATACGCTCTATCAATTCTCATCTTTCTCTGAATCTCTCTCCGTGAAATTGCCTCCCAGAAATCTGGATCTCCGGCGTCCGAATCGACACACAGGAAGAGCTCGCGAGGCCCATCCACATTCGTAAAGAAATAACCGAAAAAAAAGTTTCCAGGCCTCGTACCGCGATTACGAGGATCCCGATGGCTTCTCCTCCAGAGGTGAAGAAGACGATGACGGGACAAATTCCATCCCGAAACTGTTCCAGCGTGACCGTTGTCGGAGGATCTTCGTTTTGACATCTACACAGGCCGGGGGCAGGCGGTCACCGATTCGGAGTCTGATTCTAAGGTAAATCTAGGGCTTGTAACGATGGCGATTATTACGATCCTTTTTATGGTTTTAACGATAATTATCGTGCTGGTGATAACGAGAGGGACGATTCTGAGTGGGAATATGTGAGTGAGAGAATTCACTTTGATGAGAGGGACAATTTGAATCTGGTTTCAATGGAATCGAAGAAATATATGTTTCCTCTGATATTTTTACTTCGGTTTCTGTCCAAATTTCTGCACTTCATCTCCCGATTTACCTTTTCTGCTGCAATTTTTCCTCAGTCGTGATTTAGTGGTCGTGGTCTTCAATCTTGTAGCGACGTGTTCAGTCGAGATTTTCTATTCCCAGCATGTTAGACGCGGTTCTTTGGTTACTCCCCTGGCAGGCTACTCGTGATCCCTATTTTGCGAGATATCAAGTCCAGATTCAATGTATTTCGAGATTCTAGGTGAGTCGCGTTTTTGGTTTTGTATGTGTTTATTCTCTTCTAGGCATATTTTTCTTGATTTGTGGTGCTGGTTGTGATGTGTTAATCTTGATGTGTGAATCACATTTGTATTGCTCGTTTTCTTGTGAATCTCACATGAATTGATGCTCCCAGACTTCCGTGGTGTGAGTTAAGTTGCTTTCAGATGCTTTGCCCTTACTCGCGATTTTTATATGATTCTCGACAGGAATTTTCTTAATCCTTGATGTGTGTCGCTCCTTCTAGTTTCTGATTTTTCGCGAGATGCTGTCGTGATGGGCGGATTGCTCTTTTGCTTTAGATTAGTAGCGATTCCTGCTTTTACGTGTTGTGCTCGTCTTTTTGGGTTGTATCCTTGTTTGGTTCGTTTCCCTGTGGCTAAGTCGATTGCTACTTTGTATGTTGCTCGCATACATCTCTGTTAGCAATATGCAGAATCGATCATTTGCATTCCATTATAAATCATTCTCCAGCTTCCGGTGGCGGATTCATGCTATTTGACTTGCTGTATCTAATCCGGTTATGCATATGTGCTACATATATTTTTTTGTTTTTAGCTGCAACAATGCTTTAACTTCATTTTGCTTGCAGCTCTAATAGCAGTAGTGGCTAGCAGCTCAAATTCTACCACAGCCTGCTCATGGCTTTTG